CAAAGTTAATAAAGTTGAAGTAGAGTGTTGACTGCCATTCTATACTCTGTTCAATGATGATGCTTAGTGTTCCAATTTGATCCATACATGATTTGTTCTTCCTGAAGCCACCCTGTTTCGGTCATTTTACCAAGATACTTGAGATGAAATATATACAAACAGTCGTTGACACTGAACAACATTTGAATGATGGACTTGAATGATATTCACCTCATTATAGTCGTCATGATACTAATTAGCCTAAAAATTCTCAACCAAGTGATTCTAGGTGCAAGAAATAAAGATAAACTGCCTGACTGTGCAATGATCAAATCCGTGAATATTCTGATATTGGCCTCCTTGGTTTAATAAAGTTACTCAGAAACTATAAAGGTGGATAAAACTTTTATCGAATTTATTTATAGAGACTAAAAGGGGAAATATTTAAAACTAAGACCGTTACAGTTCGTAATCTATTCAAAATCTTGATTACACAGTCGATTATGATTTCAATATATCAAATGGGGATATTAACCAGAAAGTTGCCTTATAATAGACTGGATGGGAAATATATACAATGAATTTTCATATGAAATATCAATTGGGAAAAAAAAATCTAATCTTAGCATTGTAAAAGAAGTTTTGAACTACATACTTCGGATGTACAGGTATCATCAATCCCTTCTGATATCCTAGTAATACGATTAGAAATCCTCAACAAATTGTGTTTTCATTTCTTGCATGCTCGATGACTTAAACTGGAATTTCTTGAAATATAGTCAGTTACATGGTCAGACACTCAATGGGTCTTTAGGTTGAACCTTTAGCTACTTTGTTTACACATAAGTTAATGGCCATATCACTTGTAGCTAACTGATAATTGTCGATAAACAGCTGACACAGACAACCTCTAGACGAGTATTTAAATTTTCGTCTCTCGATGATCGCCTTTCATTTCAAATAAATTGACAGTTACATGCATGTAAGTTCGAAGATCTACACGTGAAAACTAACAAGTTGACAGAAGAGACAACTAAGATGGGACTTCAAGTGGATGTAGAGAAGACAACAACACCAACAAGAACCATGAACGGGAGAAATCTGAAGGAAGTAGTCTCTTTCACCTACCTACCTACCTATACACCTACCTACCTACCTACACACCTACACACCTACCTACCTACACACCTACCTACACACCTATACACCTACCTACCTAGAAGGCAGCGCCGTTTTAACTACCGGCGGCACGGGCACAGATAAGGACGTCAACTCCAGGATCAGAAAGACAACAAGACAGGCCTTTCTTCATCAGTCTCAAGTCAGTGTGAAGATCTACTGAACTCCACTCCACTCCACTCCACTACACTGCACTGCATTCAGCATATGGAACAAGATCCGGACTTTCAACACTACCAATGTCAGCCAAGTCAGTGCTTCTATGTGATGGCTGAGAGACTTGGCGTGTTACGAAAAGCATTTCCAACAAACTTCGGACATGCATCATCATCAGCTGCCGCCTACGCTAGCTCCATACAGAAGATCAGATGGTAAGAATAATAACAATAAGCAAGGAGGGAGTGTGGCCTGGCAACGAACCAATGAAGCAAGAACCTATCATCCAACAAATATGAAGGAGAAAGTAGAGATACATTAGATTGGATTGGAATGTTTGTGGACATCAAGTGTTAAGTCAAGCCCTCGGATGGAACCCAAATGAGAAACGACGAGTTGGGAGTCCAACAGTGATATGGTGGAGATCGTGTGAGGAAGAAATGAATGGTTATACGAAGTGGTGGAGCCGTGTTAAGAAGATTGCAGAGAAGAGAGTGAAATAGCAACGTGCTACTGAAGTCCTATGTTCTGCTAGAAACTCAAGGGAAAAATAATCATCAGTAATTCACTAGCATCCTTAGCAATGATAAGAACTGGGTACCATTGTGTTGTGTTAAGACTACCAAAAAGTAAGCAGTGAAAAATTGTTATCAGTTATACTCACATAATTACTGCATTCGTGATAAATGTTGTAATATTGAGTAGATGTGAGATTGAAATCATCGTCATTGGGTTTAAAGAAGGCATACATATTTTCAATGAAATCTGTTACCAAGCTTTTCGACGTCTCTGAGTTATCTAGACACTGGCTGTATCTTGAAGAAATGAGCGGAGTTAATGTTATATGCAGCAAATATCATTGCTGATAATGATCTTCCTTAATTAGTTACGTAACACTGTGAACAAGAATATTTGAAACGTTGTACTATCATACATGAATGTGACTCAGTTTATTGTCTGTAAGCTTTTGTTCAGTTGGGTATATATGGTGTGAATAGACAAAAGTGTTGGTGATTGTTTACCACGCAAGTATCATCTGTTGGCTTGGCTTCAACAAAGCATAAATCGTGGAAAATATTTCTGGGCAAAACAACTTTGATGTAAGCCAAAGTATCAGGTGATCAAATGAATTTTAAAACTTGGAGAGGATAAACTTCGGTTGAGTAAAGCTAGACAATGGAATACAATAGTTTTATGGTTATAAGAACTGTAGGTTTTGCGTAAATTTACGATACCAGTTGAAAGCCAATAATTTGTACAGTGGCATTCCGTATCTACAGCTATGAAGCATTTTCAGACAGTAAAAATCATTATCTTAGAATTGAACGTATTCTTCGTCACAGTATTTATATTCATTCGTTGTGTTCAGACTTATATTCGACATAAATCATCAGCGAAATCCAAAACTTATAGGCTCTTTTCATCAGTCTAGCGTATGCCCCTCTCACTCCTGACGGTTTGCTGCATGATCCAGTCGATCACAATTAGAAAGATCATGCGTAATAGTAGGCAGCGTTGTCTTACTCCTTCTCTTCAAAAGCATCGCTGAGCTTTCCATTCTGAATCATTTGGCATGTGGCGTCTTCATATAGCTGTTGAATAAAACTTAAAGATGTAGTACCTAAGGAAAATCAACAAGGCTGTATTTGTGAGAAAAAATGCTCAAATAGTAACAGTTAAGCAGATTCCAAAAAACTTCAGCAGAGGTTAATTAGCTAGTAAACAAATCGCAAGTCTCACTACACTCCATGGGAAAGAGTTCACAAAATTGACCTTGATAGAGCCAAGGTTCGACGAAACGATTTTCGGTCATACTATTAAACATTGATTGCTGGAGGCCTACATACACGCATAGGTAAATCCTCTTAACAATTACTAATCAGTAGACAGAAAGAGTGACCATAGCATTTGCCTATACTTACAAGTACATGACCATAGATTAATTTATATAATCTTGGTATTTTAATTTCTAATTATTTCCCTGAAGAAGCTAGGAACAAACTTCAGTGAGAAACGTTAAAACTATTTGATTTCAAACACGCTATGACTTACACAAATATTAACTATGCTTAATGTCAAACTGTCAATAAGCCCCCAATTTTTGCGATACAATTCGGTCAAGCCTTGATCCTACCTAGTTTATTAAAGCTAATCGAATTTCCTCAAAGTTTTTACAACTACAACAACTGAGTAAGGAAGTAATAAATATTTCCCTCCACATTAGGATCTTTCCTCACAAACCATCGACTAAATTCTATTCAAGATTCAATCAATAAATTGAGTATTTGTAATGGGAACCTCAGTGATGCCTTTGAAGTGGAGACGGAAGTAAAACAAGGCTGTTGACTATCACCCATGATCCTCCTTATTGTGGTCGACTGGATCATGTAACAAACAGTGAGGATCGAGTAGAGGGGGATACTCTGGATCAATTGAAAGATCCTAGAAGATTTGGATTTCGCCGATCGTCATTTGTGTCCAATGTCACACAAAATTGAAAATCTAAAGGCGAAAACTAACAAGTTGAGTGAAGAGGCAGAGCAGCGAAGATGGGAATTCAAAAGAACGTAGAGAAAACAGAGGTGATGAAGATACCCAACCAACAACAACAACAACACCACCAACAACAACAACAATCTCAAATCACCATCAATGGGAGAAACCTAAAGAAACTAGCCTCCTTCATCTACATCCATCTAGGCAGCACTGTTTCAACTACACGCGGTACAGGCAAATACGACGAAGTCAAAGTCAGCCAGGATCGGAAAGACAACAAGACAGAATTTCATTAACCTGAAACAATTGGGTAGATCTTCTGCACTCAGCATATGGAATAAGATCGGGATTTTCAACACCACTAATGTCAATCAAGTCAGTGCTTCTATGCGACGGTTAAAAGACTTGGCGCGTTACGTTAAGCATTTCCACCAAACTACAGACATTCATCAATAACTGTCTACACCCACTCGTTACTGAAACTCAGATGACCAGAAAGAATAAACAACAATCAACTCTGTCTGGCTGCCAACAAACAAACGAAGCAACGACCTTTTTATTACTCAACAAATATGCACTGGAGGGAAGTTGAGATGGATTGAATTGGCATGCACTGAGAAGACTATTCAGGGACATCATGCATCAGGCGAGGCGAGGTGAGGCGAGGCACTCGAGTGGAACCCATATGGGAAACGACCAGTTGGGCATTGGAGGTGAGGGTGACATGTAGACGATGGTGTGTGAGGAAGAAATGAAAGTTTGTGGGCAGTGGTGGAGCCAGATTGAAAAGATTGCAGAGTAGAGAGTGTAATGGAGACGTGCTACTGAAGCCCTATGTTCGACTAGGAACCCAAGGGACAAACAATAATAATAATAATTTAAGATTTTCGTTTAAATTTATAAGATTATATTCATTGGTTAAGAAGAACACCTTCAACGAATCGAATAATAATGATGAAGAAACTTTTTGATACTTCGAAAAAATTTGGTTGTCTATAAAGTAAGAAATATTCTTTGTTTATTGGTTATGATCACTTATCAAATAAGAAGGTTGGCTAACTCTAACTGCGTTTTCTACGTGACTGACTAGTTGAACATTATTTAACATCTATTTAACTAAGAAATGAAGTATTTGTTGGTTATTTAAACAAGATAATTATACTTATCCACTTCATATATCTAATTGCATAATGTTATTATATACAGCTAGTACACTGAATTCCCTTATATTATACAGTTTATATCTTACTGGATACCTTATATCTGAAATACTGTTAAATGACAATATGCCTAATGAGTTGGATAGCCTTAATACTAAAGAATATGGGAGATTAATTTCAAAAAATGAATCATACCGATTGGTAAGATTATTATTTTTTTTTAAAGGATCTATAAACAAGATTAGTCGGATCATTATTATTATACACAATTGATTCAACTTAACCAATCATCTCCGGTAATATTTCAAGATTTTAACAAAAGTATAATTTTAGCAACTTCATACCTGGTAAATTATCTTTTTGCTTTTCATTGGTTGTACATTTAGAAGATGGATACTCGGTTTTCAATAAAGTATTATGGTATGTATTATAATTCACTTAATATACTATCAACAGGTAAGAAATGAATAGTTATTTTTCATAATCGATTGTTTTATGAATTATTACTACAAGTTAACTGTTATATATATTATATATTAGTCCCTTGGGTTCCTAGTGGAACATAGGGCTTCAGTAGCACGTCTCCAGTGACCTCTGTTCTCTGAGATCTTTTGAACCTGGTCCCACGACAGCCCACAACCTCTGATTTCATCCTCGCATGACCTCCTCCATGTCACCCTCGGACGTCCAACTCGTCGCTTCCCATGGGGATTCCACTCGAGTGCCTGGCCTGACGCGTGATGTCCTCAGTCGGCCTTCTCAGTGCATGGCCAATCCATCTCCACTTCTTCCTGCATATTTGTTGCATGATAGGTTCTTGGTTGGTTCGTTCCCAGAGTTCCTTGTTGCTTATTCTTACTATTCTGGCCATCTGATCTTCAGTAACAAGTGAGCGTAAGCAGTTGTTGATGAATGTCTGTAGTTTATTGGAAATGCCTTTCGTGACGCGCCAAGTCTCTGAACCATACAAGAGCACTGACTTGACGTTGGTGTTGAAAATCCGTATCTTGTTCCGCATGCTGAGTGCAGAAGATCTCCACACTGGTTTCAGGCTAATGAACGCCTGTCTTGCTTTTCCGATTCTGACTTTGACGTCCTCGTCCGTCCCGCCTGTAGTTGAAACAGTGCTTCCTAGATAAGTGAAGGAGGTTACTTCCTTCAAGTTTCTCCCGTTGACGGTGATTGGAGTTTGTTGTTGTTGTTGTTGATGGTGGTGGTGCGGTATCTTCATCACTTCTGTCTTCTCTATATTCACCTGAAGTCCCGTCTTAGCTGCCTCTTCTGTCAACTTGTCAGTTTTTGCCTGCAGATCTTCAAGTTTACGTGACATTAGACACAAGTCATCGGCGAAATCCAAGTCTTCTAGGTTCTTTTCCGTCGTCCAGTGTATCCCCTCTTCTCGCTGCCTACTGTTTGCTGCATGATCCAGTCCACCAAAATAAGGAATATCATGGGGGATAGTAGGCAACCTTGTTTCACTCCTGTCTTCACTTCAAAGGCATCACTGAGCTTCCCATTGTGATTACTTGGCATGTGGCATCTTCATATAGTTGTTGAATGAGGCGGATAAAGGTTTGCGGTACTCCGTAGTATTGAAGCAGTTTCCAAATTACTTCTCGGTCGACGCTGTCAAAGGCCTTCTCAAAGTCGATGAAGTTGAGGTAGAGAGCTGATTGCCATTCTATGCTCTGTTCTATGATGATACGAAGCGTTGCAATTTGCTCTGCACATGATTTGTACTTCCTGAAGCCTGCCTGTTCCAAGTTAACTGTTATCTTGACATGAATAGGAGGAATATTAGAAACTTAAGAAAAGCTTTCCCCTACCTAAAATGGGACTCCTCAGCAGTGCTCACTGATGCCTCCATCCCACCAGGTTCTATTGCCAGCATATTATCATTGAAACAATATGAAGTCATGACGGTTGCGATAAACCAAGTCGAATATGAGGACAGTTACTCAACAATAGTATTGTATAGAGTTTGGTCTATGTCATGAATTGACAGAGATTTCCGATGTGATGGCTAGATGGAGTGATGCCGATGTTCCTTTAATTGATATCAATTCATGATGAATATCAACGCGAAATTTGGAAAAATAGAAACGATTTGTAAGTGTAGATGACAATGATGGTGGTTTAGTGATCTCTAAACTTAGAAGTTACACGATCAGAGTTTGTGATATCCTCAGCACTAACTTCATAATAACCTTAGATTTCATTCAGTTGTAAGTTGAAGAAGCGATTTTTATCATACCTTAACCTTTTTGACCTTAAATTTTCTTTGGTCACATTGGCAGAGATTGATAGGACTTTTCAAATATGCTTCACTTCTTAATGAGACTACTGCTGAAGTTATCAACAAGCCTAATGATGATGACACACCACCAAGAAAATATCAAAGTTTAGTGAACACCATACCACCATCAGTTTGGAATGGATTTGCTTTATGGTAATACGCTTACAGTACGAGAGCTTACCAAATCAAGACTTAACGGTCACCACTTGCTCTTTTTCTCAACTCCTGTGACATGATAACATGATCATACTTTCTAACAGAATTTCAACAAGATAAATTCCAGTAAAGATGTTTATATGAAGTAGCTATATCAACTACCTTGGTGGTCGACGTAAATATTCCACTACCACATAGTTTAATATATCCCAAGGTTACTTTTACTTTATACAAGGGATGTAAGCACCCACCAATAGATGACTTGAATTCCAACGGTCATGTTAAACCTTTTCTACTACAATTCTGTAAACTTTTAAAGATCAGTTCATCATAGAAGATTTTTAATGTATCTTAATATTTTCATAAAGGTATTATAGGTATAGGAGCATCATTCCTTCATGCTGGATCAATGAAAAAAATTGAAGCTTTTAATGGACAAGAAAAAGATCATGAAGTGCAGACAATTAGCAATGGTAAGTCTCATTTTTATATCACCAAGACTTGAATTGTTTTTAACGTTTAATGTTTTCTCATTTGATCAAAGTATTATTATTTGTCCCTTGGGTTCACAGACGAACATACAGCTTCAGTAGCACGTCTCCATTACACTCTCTACTCTGCAATCTTTTCAACCTGGCTCCATCACTGCCCACAAGCTTTCATTTCTTCCTCACACACCATCTCCTACATGTCACCCTCATCTCCAATGCCCAACTGGTCGTTTCCCATATGGGTTCCACTCGAGTGCCTGACCTGGCCTCGCCTCGTCTCGCCTCGCCTCGCCTCGCCTGATGCGTGATGTCCCCAGTCGGCATTCTCAGTGTATGCCAATTCAATCCATCTACACTTCCTTCCAGTGCATATTTGTTGAGTAATAAATAGGTTGTTGCTTCGTTCGTTCGTTGGCAGCCAGACAGAGTTGATTGTTGTTTATTCTTTCTGGTCATCTGAGTTTCAGTAACGAGTGGGTGTAGACAGTTATTGATGAATGTCTGTAGTTTGTTGGAAATGCTTAACGTAACGCGCCAAGTCTTTTAACCGTCGCATAGAAGCACTGACTTGATTGACATTAGTGGTGTTGAAAATCCCGATCTTATTCCATATGCTGAGTGCAGAAGATCTACCCAATTGTTTCAGGTTAATGAAATTCTGTCTTGTTGTCTTTCCGATCCTGGCTGACTTTGATATCGTCGTCTTTGCCTGGTCCGCGTGTAGTTGAAACAGTGCTGCCTAGATAGATGTAGATGAAGGAGGCTAGTTCCTTTAGGTTTCTCCCATTGATGGTGATTGGAGATTGCTGTTGGTGGTGGTAGATCTTCAAGTTTGTGTGACATTAGACACAAATGACGATCGGCGAAATCCAAGTCTTCTAGGTTCCTTTCCGCGGTCCAGTGTATCCCCGTCTTCTCTCTCCCCACTGTTGCTCAAAATACCAGTCTTTATTTGAGCAAATTATATATGAAATATGAGGCAATAAAATAATGAGTGGTTTTGTTCAGTTATATTATATAAGAAAGGCAGTCTTCAGAATGTCAAGTGCAATTCATACTCATAGGACTTTAAGGTGGTGGAGAATATTTACAGAGTAGAAAATTAATTTCATCAATGGTTTGTCCTCTAGGCTAGATGATTAAATCATGAATGTTTCCTTATCATTTCAAACAAATTTATAAACACACACCTAAGATCAAAGTGAGCTAGAGAAATTTCTCCGTAATTAGATATGTAGCTGTTATTGTTTGATAGATTGACTCAATGTTAGTTGATAAATGACCTGTATTTCAAGTTTTTGGAAATCCCTTAACATTCAATGTGATTTCTCCAATTAATATTTATGCTTTCTTTACAATTGTCTATATGTATGTATGTAAATAAGAAAACTTCGTACTTCAATAGCAGTTAATGTTCCCATAGATGAATGCCAAGAAGATAGCACATGTATTAGTTTTGAAAGTCAAAAGTAGTTTATGGAAGCCTTTACAGGTTCTTGTAGGTCAGAAACCTACAAACTACTCTCTTTGATATTATTTAGACTTAAAGACAATCATGAAGAAAGATAATCCTAATCTCATCAACAAAATACACTTTAGAAACTACATGAATCACACATCACAATGATTAGAGTGTAATATATATAAAGCTCATAATGTTATATGGATTTTGATGACTAGTAGAGGAGGCCAGGATGTGTATTTTGTCCTAATTGAGACACGTCAGCTGAGCGATGTCGTTCCCACTGAGGTTTGAAGCCAATACCTTTCGCTTTAAACTCCAGAGCGTTATCCACTAAGTCACTGGGGCATGACAACTACCACTCTTGTAATGGCGGTCAGTTATTGTCATGATACTTGCAATTTACTGACAGCAGAATTCCTCGACTTCTGTTGACTTCAGTGGGAACAACCTTACTCACTTCAGTGCAGGTGCACCCGACTGACTAGTCCTAAGTAGGATGAACCGCGCATACTAGATGCCTCTGTTAGTCACAAAGATCAGTATAACATCATGAATACTTAGTAGTATCAAGGCATCTGCATAGAAGCTCATTGTCTCAAATTCCGCTCCAACTATCAAGATTTCAACTGCCAGGTGTTATCATTTGTCTTGAAGTAATTATTATTATTTTTTCCTTGGGTTCCTAATGAAACATAGGGCTTCAGTAGCACGTCTCCACTACACTCTTCACTCTGCAATGTTTTAGACCTGGCTCCACGACTGCCCATAAGCTTTCATTTCTTCCTCACACACCACCTCCTCTGTGTCATCCTCGGACGCCAAATTGTCCTTTCCCATATGGGTTCCACTCGAGTGCCTGACCTCGCCTCGCCTCGCTTCGCCTGATGCGTGATGCGTGATGTCCCCGAATAGTCTTCCCAGTGGATGCCAATTCAATCCATCTACACTTCACTCCAGTGCATATTTGTTGAGTAATAAATAGGTTGTTGCTTCGTTTGTTCGTTGGCAGCCAGACTGAGTTGATTGTTGTTTATTCTTTCTGGCCATCTGAGTTTCAGTAAGGAGTGTGTGTAGGCAGTTGTTGATGAATGTCTGTAGTTTGTTGGAAATCCCTTTCATAATGCGCCAAGTCTCTTAACCGTCACATAGAAGCACTGACGTGACTGAATTGGTGTTGGAAATCCGGCTTAGAACCGGTTAGTAACTAGTTAACTAGTTAACTAGGCGAATATGTCTTGAGGTAATAGCTATGGTTTGTTGATCAGTGCATGGAAATCCCTTTGACTACCCAGGTAATTAAGCTGTAATGATATTGCAGTGGAGAATATATTGCCTAAGGTTTGACGAAAGTCAACATTAATACAGACATTCCTTAGCTAAAGACAGATAGTTAAGGATTCACACTGCTTAATACTTTGTCGTGTTAAGTTGCGCTGCCAGTATGTGATCCTCTAGTCACCTAGATGGAAGACATCTATGAAATATACTATTCTATCTGGGGCACTATTATGTTGTTCCTTAACCTCATACTGGTGAGCAAATAAGAAGTATGAATAATTAGTGATCAGTCTTTATGTATGTCAAGTTTGCGTTGGATCATTTCCTAAAGTGTGAAACATACATTCACTACTATTTCCATGATTTCTTGAGTTAATTTCCAACAACAGCGAAAGTCCTGTTATTAGAAACAATGACAAGCTGTATACAGGCGACTTTCTTAATTATATTTTCAAAATAGACAATATTACTACTGCCTAAAAAACCACTTGGGATGCATCTGCGACCACACATAGAAAAGTTAATGTATAGTACATTGAATTGTCTAATCACGGTCCCTCTTTTATTGATATAAGGATGAATGACCATAACTATTCATAGTGGAAGAAGGATTTGGTTCAATCAACCTAGGGGAATTAAGAATTGTATTATCGAATCATACCCATTTCATATAGATTGTTTATCACGACTCAGTAGCCTAGTGATAATTGAAGTCAGTTTCAATGAGAAAAACATTACTTATTAGGAAGAAACTACTTCCGATTAACGACTCTCATATTGGATAAGATACGTGGTTGCTAGGGTCTTTCTACTATTATTACGATTCAACCTTTTATTTCTTCTATTCAGTTAAACAAAAATATCCGTATATTACTACTATTTAAACGATAAAAACGTAAATATTTTGTTTTTTTCAGATCAATATATAGCCATTAGATGGCCAAGTCTACAAGTATATCAAGGTGAAAATGAAGAATTCGGTAGGATTAGTATTATGATTTATTTTTTTACTTGGGTTACTAATGGAACATAGTATTTCAGTAGCACGCCTCCATTGCACTCTCTTCTCTCCAGTCTTTTCAACCTCACTCCACAACTGCTCACAAGCTTTCATTTCTTCTTCACACATCATCTCCTCCATGTCACTCTCCGACGCTCAACTTGTCGTTTCCCATTTCGGTTCCCTCGATGGCCTGGCCTGAGGCATGATGTCCAAAATCTTTCTTCTGAGTGTGTATCCAATCCAATCCATCTCCACTTCCTTCTTCTGTATAGTTATTGGGTGATAGGTTCTTACTTCGTTTCTTCGTTCTCAGAGTTTCTTGTTGTTCATTCTTTCTTGCCATTTGATCTTAAGTACCGAGTAAGCGTAGACATCTGTTGATGAATGTCTGTAGTTTGTTGGAAGTGCTTTTCGTGACACGCCAAGTTTCTGAACCATACAGCAGGACTGACTAGACGTTGGTATTAAAAATCCGAATCTTGTTCTTTGTGCTGAGTGCAGTCCAGTAGATCTCTACACTAATTTCAGATTAGTTAAAACCTCTCTTTGGTTTCCGATCCTGGTTTTGACATCCTCGTCTATGCCTGTGCCGCCTGTATTTGAAACGATGCTGCCTAGGTAGTTGGGTGAAAGAGACTACTTCCTATAGGTTTCTCCCGTTTATGGTGATTGGTGCTTGTTGTTGGTTGGGTATCTTCATCACCTCCGTCTTGTTTACATTCACTTGAAGTGCCGTTTTCGCTGCCTCACCTATTCTGTCAACTTGTTAACTTTCATCCATAGATCTTCAAGTTTGTGCTACAATACATTAGATATAAGTCATTATCGGCGGCGAAATCCAAATGTTCTAGGCTCTTTTCATCGGTCCAGCTTATGCCCATCTTTTGATTCCTCATGGTTTGCTGCATGACCCAAGGTAGGTCTAGTAACTCACTAATAAACTGAATTTTATTTTTATCTAAAAAGTCATCGAGATTTTACAAATCTATATGTAAGAATATGACAATACTTTACCTCAGTTTGAAAGTAAACTTCAGAAAAGAAACGATAAAAGTGATATGTACTAAAATTAACAGTTTATACACATTTGTTCATGGTCTTAGAGAGTTCTACACTTTCCTAAAGAGGCTTTGAATCAATTTGAGTCTCACATGTATGATCATATGGTTTTTCTTAAATGTTCGAAATGTTGTGATTGGCTATGAAGATTTTCCTGGGATTTTCAAGCATTTTTCA